TGATTTTCTTTTTTTTATATATAGAAAAGAAATTTTAGAAAGAAAGAAGAATTTTCTCTTCCCTTTTTAATATTTTTGTATGTCTTTATAAGTCRATGTTGTAGGTTGATATTTTATTTTTGGTAATTGTATATTCAAGGTTTTACGTTTGGGATTTATTTTTCATTTGATCTTTAAATAATTAACATAAGATGTTTTTAGAGGCAAATTTTATGTTATAGACTAGTTTTACCTAATATGGAACGATAAGCTTTATATGGAACACTACAATATTTCGTAATATAACAAGAGTTACTTTGAATATAAAATTCAGTATATTTGGTAAGATTTTAATATTAGATATATTTTCATATGAAAAATGAATTATTATATATAATGTATAGTAAGTAAAATTAGATAAATCTAGATTGTGTGTGTGTATAATAAAAATAAATTTGACACGGTGTGTAAATGTAATTTTATAATAATAATATTTAAAAATTTCTATTTTTAAATACATATATATACAATATATTACATAGAAATTTTTTAAACAATGAACAAAATATTGAGAAAATAAAATGGAAAAAAATTAAATATTACTATAATAATTATTTAAAATAAATTGTATGAACGTGTGAGATATTTAACTTCGACATAATATTTCTTATTTTCATTCTCAAGGATTATCTTGATGCATATTTAATTGCTCGTGAGAAAAATTTATTATACTCTATCGTCTAACTACAAATATCTTCCTGATCTTATTTTAAAGAGGTCACTAGAACAACTTCATACTTTCACAAAGAAACGGCATAATAGACTGGCATAACAAACTTGGCATCATTCACGAAGGTCTTATACTCTATCCTTACAATTGAACTTAATCGTTGGTATGACGTTTACGTTTTAACTTTTACATTGTCGTTGTAAAATTTCCCATGAATTTCCTGTGTGTATGTAATTAAAAAGAGACAATAATTATTATTAACCGTTTACGTCCCAATCGAGATTACTTTTCTAAATAATATTTACCGCTATATATTTTATATTCACATTTCCATTCTGAAACACACGTATATACGAACTCACATACATACATATCTAAATTACAATAGGTGCAATTCGATATCGAAGAAATGTTAAACGATATAACTCGATCCTGCAATATTTTCAATAAATGATTCACGTAATTCGATCTTTTTAAAACAATAGGGTAATTCGGAACGATGATTATGTGAATCGAATATAAACCCTGATCGTTTCAAAAAAAAAAAAAAACAATTTCATAACTGACATATCTCTTATTGCAAAAAAGACAATAATAAAACGAGATAATTATCATGAAACGTATCATCTTCCTCTCTCCTTCTCTCTCACTCTTCTGTTCTCTTTCTATTTCTTTCGCATATATACGCTTATTACATCGACATTCCTTAGGTGTCTCGTTACGGTAGAACACGTGTTCCTTTTATAATATACGTTCGGTATCTGTAAATATATACGCCACCGCATCGCATCGTAATTTAAAGCATAAACTATACCTATGTGTAAACGTGAAATATATATACGTATACATATATATGTATATATATACATGTATATATAGAACGAATGAAGTGAGAGAGATAGAGATAGATAGATAGATAGTAAGATAGTAAGAGAGAGAGAGAGAGAGAGAGGTAGGAATATACAATGCGACATATGTGAGATTAAAACCATACGGAAATGGTAGACGGTTGTAAACGTTTTGGAGAAATGCTTCTCGTTATATACCATTCTCGAATAATAATAATAATAATAATAATAATAAAATAAAAGATAATAATAAAATAACCATAACGATAACGATAGACTCTACATGTGCATGTATATTTGCATCTATATGTTGTACGTATTTGTATATGTATTTTTATTGTATATACAATTATATATAGATGTGTACATTGTTAGGAGTTAAATTTCAATCGTTTATTTAGACGAAGTGGTAGATGTACATATAGGTGTCGGAGATAATCGAGAATAATCCAATGATAAAAGATCGAAGAGGAATTTGGTAGCAGGATTTAGACGTGATATCCTAGCGTTAAATGTTCCCGCAAACGCGTTTACTTCGTATATATGTATATATATAATATATATACGTGGTGTATACATATATATGTATATATAATATATATACGTGTATCTATGTAGATAGTAGATGCATTCGCGCGGGCGCGCGTTCGCAACGTTATCGTCAACTTGTAATTAACGGTGGAGATAGTGCCATTTATTTTCGCATTAGGCCCACTCTCGATCTCTCAAGGGACAAATATTTATACATGCATACATATATACATATATATATGTATATATTTATTTAAATATATATATATTCGTGTCTGTGTATATGTATGTATATATATATAGTATACTGGTTGGTTGGTTGCTTACTTACTTGCTCGTTCGTCAAACCGCTTCCGTGTTAATTATTCGGTTATATATAAACAAGGAATGCAAATTGTGCTATGTGTTCGCTTAGGAAAACTTTGAGAGGGAATGAACTTCTAACAGAGAAATCTTATAGGAGAATACTATACCAAGTAATATCCCGTTTTAAGGATAACGAATACGTAGTTACATTTTGAGATATGAGTTAGAAGATATATGATGTATTTTGTTTGTATATATTTATATGTTTACTATGTACGTGTGTCTATTCGTATGTATGGATGTTAGTAGAAATGATTTTCATTCATTTGTATGCATGGATGAATCATACTCTGGACATTTTATTATTAATATATGCAATGCATTTTTCAGTCGATCGCGTTTCTTCGTGTTCGTTCGTTAGAAATGACATATCTTGACATCTTCTCTCTAAATCGTTTTGTTTTGTTTACATTGTATATTCCAGAGAATCAGTTTTATCTCAAAGATATATATACATATATGCGTAAATTAAAATATTTTTTTTTTCATTTGATAACATTTTTTTTTCACACTCGCAAGGAGAATTATATTTAAATGGAAAAAAATTCATATTTTTATGTAATATATTTTTATATTGTATATATATATATATATTTAAATATAATAATAATAATAATCAAAATGAAATTTCTGGAAAAGCAATTTTGACAATGGCGTTCACTCGACATATTTTCTCCGTAAACGTTACATAGTTTTGTTCTCCCTTGCACTGCATTATTACACTTGCGGTAATGAAAAAGCAAAATTTTTATGAAAATACTAACTTTAATCTTCCATTATTGATACTTGATCGATCGAAATACTAGAAGATTCTAAATTACATCTGAAATTTTTGTTGTTAGAATGTAAAATGATTTGAAAGTTTGGAATAAAGTTGGGTGTCGGTAATTGACGAGATAACTTTCCAAACAACCTAATATATTATTAGTATTACTCTCTCTTTATTATTAGAATAGTTTAAGTAATATTATATAATATAATATATAGATAATTCGCATACTGTTTTATTTTAAATACAATAAAAAAATTGTAACATAAATAAGAATAATTAAAATTATAACAAAATATTATATATATATATATATATCCAAAAAAACATTAAACATTTATGTCAAAAAAAAATTAAAAAAAAACCAATCTAATTTAATCTAATTTAACCAATTTGAGAATATATATATATATTTTCAATTAAATTATTTAATAATAGAATTTTTTTAATCAAAAGTAAACTCAGATATGAATTTCAACGTAAATTTGCACGTCAAAGACATCGGTTCTCAAGGATTCTCTCTCTCTCTCTCTCTCTCTCTCTTTCTTTCTCTTGCATTACCTCTCTCCTATTCTCCTATTTCCCCCCGTCCCTCTCTCTCTCTCTCTCTCTCTCACTCTCTCATTTTCGATCTTATCTTGAAATTCGCTTGAGGACCAGGATTAATCGGATAATTCGGCTTTCAATTTATATCCGATTCAGTATGGAACAATGAGAGTGACGTTCTCGCGTCGATTATACGCGCACGTTGGGACATAAATTACGGTAGCGTCGTTGTTGGATTATATGAGGCAGAGAGCTTAACGCAGTGCATAAATAAAGTGCATGCGTCGGCGGCCGTTATATGCGTTGCTCGCATTGACGTCCTCCCACTAATCACGCTGAACCATGAATCAGGAGAACTCACGTTACCGACGATGAGTTTTTCAATCAATCTACCACAAATTATATATATATATATTATATATTATATATATATAGGTATATACGTATATTTATCTGCAGAGAAATCTTCTCGATCAACCAACAACCATGTGTGTTCTCAATCATAATATTTGTCTAATCATCCTATTAACAATTAGAATCAAATGATTTACCGATCACGTAGATTTATCTTGACTGCGTGTTGTATTGAGAATAATTTCGTTCTAATCATCATCTTTACTATTATTAGAATAAAATTAGATGTGATAAATGTCTACGTCAAGTATACGTAAGTATTATCGATCGTTATAGAATTAGGAATTTTTTTTAGCCGATCATGTATTTTTTCTTTTTATTCAACATTTAATTGCAATCATATTTTTTTTTAAGACAAACTTCGAACGAAATTGCTTTAAATTTCTACACACATATGAGCATACATGCAGACATATATACATACGTATAGATCTTTTTTTTGATCATTTTTTTTTAAATATATAAAAGAAACGTTCTTTAATTATTGGAAAAATGTTTGAGAGTAAGTAAAACAATGGGGGGAGGGGGGAGGGAGGGGCGGGGGAGGAAAAATAATGTACCGTGTGATTTTGACAGTAGCGCATCGGGTGAGAATTTTTCTTTTTATTTTTCATCGGAAGCTCTGAGATTGGATACGCTGGTTCACCACCCAGAGATGTCCTCACTAGAGGTAGAAGCATCGACTCTGTCGACAGACCCTTTCAACCAAGCGATTGGGTGGACGTCAACTTGGAAGTACCCAGTACACCAAGAGCAAACTCGGTTCTCACCAACTTGACCATCGACACGAATCTCTATCCACCTACGACCACTCCCACGTCTATAAGTAAGAATTTGTTTCTCTATTTAGTTTTTTTCTCTCTTTATGCTTGTTTTTTATCTTTAATTTTTCATAAGCACACAACCCACGCGTACAATAAATTATTTACATTTTTTTGGTTAGGAATTATAATTTGAATAGAAGGATACAGAAATGTGTTTTCCATACAATTTTGATGATCCTCCAAGTAAATTTATTTGAAAATTCCTATGTAAATTGATTTAAATCGATTCAATTCCATTGGTCATATTTGTAATTGAAAAACGTTCATTAACCGAACGATTTTTTTAGAGAGTAAAAATTATAATCTGTATAAAAGAGTATATAATATGTAGAAATTTGTATTGATAGGATAATACAACTTTTATGATCCTTTAAGTAAATTCATTTAAATTCGTACATAATGTTAAACTGATTGTTAAATCGATTAAAAATCCATTGGTTATATTCATATATATGAAGAAAAATATGTTCGTTTTTAATGAACGATTAAATAATAATATTGTTAAAATGAATATATAAATGTGATTTAGGATCGAATAATTTGAAAGACGTAACACCGGTGCCACCACCCAGACGAAAGAAGAGAAACAGAGGTAGACCATTGCCACCAAAACCGGACGAGATTGCAGATAAAACGATGTGCAATTTGCGGCACGTTGATTCAAGTGAGGAACCGTTATATTCATCGGTAGTGAGTAACAACTCACCACGAACGTTGCTGGACGATTATGCGACGATGGAGGATGTCGTTGGTGGGGTTGACAGTGATGATGATGATGGTGGTGGTGGTGGTGGTGGTGGTGGTGGTGTTGGTGGTGGTGATGTTGGTATGATGAAGAAGAAGAAGAAGAAGAAGAAGGAGGAGGAGTCAGAAGATGATGGTTGCATCTACCGAAATCAAACGGATGGAACGAGAGATTCTAGGCTGAAGGAATATTCAAAGGGTGTAATGCCGGAGGGTAAAAGGACGAAGGAGATATACGAGCACAAGGCGAGTATTACCGAGGTATTATAAGTGGCAATTTTGGTTACTCGTAAATGGGATCGTTTAGGGAAGAACCAAAAGAGAGAGGGGGAGAGAGAGATAGAAAGACATAGAACCCAGTGCGCTTGTCCTGTGGCTAATAATTGGCCAATCAGTATGGCCAAAAGTAACTTCTTCCGTGATCGATAAATCCAAAGTGCTCGTTAAAGACCGCAACTATCGATTTTCTCTTCGACAGGTTAACGGTACCGGAAGAATAATATCGAGCGAGGTGGTTTCCGGCAAAAGGTTATCCCAGAACTACGATAAGAAGATTCACAAAAATTCTAATCAGAATAAAAAAATTAACGATACCGAGGAGGAATACGAGAGATTCTGTAACGAGCGTACGATCAAGGATTTCTCTTCTACGCCTAATCAAAAGGACGTCGTTGTTGATACACGTAGAAGGAGGTCCAAAGAATTTCTAATTAAACGACAAATCGAGGATTCTATTAGAAACGATGGAAATTTATTAGAAATTAATGTCAGACCAAAGAACTACAGCACCGTTAGTCTTCCAAATTACGACGAGTTGGACTTAGGTAGATACGCGACCAAAAGGAACAACGATGAACAAGGGGAAAACGAGAAAATAAGATCGAGGAGACCCGTCAGAAGCAGTACAGGATCTCTACCGGTTGAATCCTTCCTTCTACCTTTCTCTCAGGTTTATATTTCTTTTCTTCTCCGGCTTCTCTTTTTATTTTTGTCTTTTTTTTTTTTATATTTTATTTATTCTTTTTTTTTTTCTCTCTCTCTCTCTCTCTCTATCTATCTTTTTCTATCACATTCTTCATGGTATACGTATATATAGAAAGAGAGAGAAAGATATAATATATTTGTCGTATATTTTTCATATATATCCTTATCTCGTTCTTACTCTTCAATTTCCTTTACCCCTTTCTTTTCTTTTTGTTTTTATTTTTATTTTTATTTGTTACTTCTTTTTTTTTCTTTTGTTTTTTTTTTATATTTCATTTTCCTTCTTTCATTTCTCTTTATTCTTCATCTTTATTCCACGCGTCAGTAGAAATGCTCTTTTCCACCCAATTATCGGAATTCATTCCGATAGCATCTCTACCTTTCAAATCTATCGATTTAAAACTACCAAGTAGAGAGTTCTTCCCACCGAAAAATCTAATTTAACCTTTTTAATTTAAGCCACGAATGATCGAAGCATGGCCGTAATCCTTTTTTTCTGTTCAAAATTATGAATTAGGAATATTGAACGATATGTAATAGGAAGGTCGTATATGTACTTATTTATTTAAAAAAAAAGAAAAATAATTTATTTAAGAACCATATATTAGAATTTTCGTTTTGATTGGACACAGAAAACGAGTATCCGATTGGAGGACTACATTCCACGTCATGGTAGTACCGAAAATCTATCGGAATATGAAATACTAGAAGGAAAGCTTCCTTGCACTGATTCCAATGGCAAGACTGAATTCTTGAAGTACGATCCAAGTAAATTGGGGGATTGGGACATTGGTAACATCGGTAATTGCGAATTGAACCACCATCAAAGGCCCCATGAGGTATATAACACGAAGGAATAGAATAAAGTCTGACTTTTCAAATCGATATTTTACTTTTCATGACATTTTCCCGTATTATCAATCCATTTGGATTTATTCAATATATAATTAATTGTTTCAATTTATATATAAATAATATAAATAGTTATATTATATATCTCGTAATATAAATTAATTTTTCTCAAATAATTATAGGATTAATATTATCGGTTTAATTATAGTTTTATTAAATTCATTTAAAGCTTTTATATAAAATTTTATACCGTATTTAATACAATTTGAATTTCTTCTATTAAACAAATGATTTCAATTAACCATTTATGAGATAATATCTATAATCACATGATAGATTATATGTTTGAAAATATAATTATATTGTACAATAATATAAAACATGATTTATATATATATATATATATATACATTTTAATCAAATTCAAATAATAGTTCTATAAAATTAGACTAACGTGTTCCCCATTAGAGAAACATAATTACATATAAAATAATAAATTCAATTCAATTGATTCAGGATTCAGTTATAGCAGATCGTGACGTAGTGGATTTTCATCAGACACGTGAAAATACTCACGCAGTGGAAAAGCCAGTGTCCTTTGGGAAACCAACCGAGTTCGTTTACGATTCCAAGTTGAATTGTATTCTTAAGGAACAGGACAACAGGTTTGTAAAAAAAAAAGCACATTTCAATTAAATTTTATGAATATAATTTATACATTGTTTAATCTTTCATTTTTTATTTCTAGATGTATACAAGAGGAAACGAAAGAATTATCGAAACCAGATAAGCCGCCATTATGCAAAGAAGCTATTTGTTCTAATCGGATCAATTCATTTTATTCAGGTATATTTTTTTCAATGAAATTATTCTTTCCTCAACCCCTTCCCCACTTCGAAAGAAAGAATATTTATTTGAAATAGGAGTAACGAATGAAACGAAGGTAATCCTTCGAATTGAATTGTAATAATTAATAAGAAGAAACAAGGAGTAGTTTATTAATACGTGACCAGTTAGAACATGACCTTTCTATTTTACAGATAACATCGGTGGAGGAACCGAGAAGAAGAAGGAAGAGAATAAGAGGGAGGAGGGGAAGGAGGAAGAGGATGATTTCGATCGATCTAATTCAAATAGGATGATCTTTGGTAGGAGTTTATCGAACGAGAGTGAACCCAACGATCCAGTTAATGTTTCCTGCGAAACGAAGGAATTACGTCTACGTGAGACAAATAAGATAATCAGGACGATATCGAAGGAATTGTTGTCACGTGAGATGTTACCTGATAGAAATACGTCGTTCTTCGATGTGGACGACGAAAAGGATCTTAAAATGAAGAAAATTCAGACACCGCCACCTAGTCCAGAGAATAAGATCAAAGCTGAGATTGTTGATAACGAACATTCAATTTTATTGAAGGTTTTAAAAGAAGAAGCAGCGATTGCCGCCGAGGGTAGTAATTTTAGTTCGATGACACCAAGTTTAACCGAATTGGAAGTAGCTTTGTCCGATATGTTGGAAAAAGAACAAAACGATCAACAGGATATTTCTAAGAGTGAACAACATCCTGATGATAGATCCTTGTCACCAGCTGGTGGTAACGAACAAATCGAACCAAAAATTATTCCAATTGATAAACATCCTGACAGAAGGAACGAATTACGTCCAGTTTCATTGGGTGATATTCTTAAAAAGAATTCACCGAAAAATCAAAGGAAAGTATCATTTTGCGCATGGGAAGAAAAAGAATTGATTTATGACGATGATGATGATGATGATGATGATAATAATAGTTGTGTTAATAAGGATTACGATAAGAAAATGATTAGGGATAAACCTAATGAACCAATGCGTCGATACAGTCTCGACGATTCCATCATGAATGATAAATCCGAGAATACTCCTACACCTCCCAGAAGGAGGCACAGACCTTCTTGTCCTTCGGGAATCCTTAGGGAAGAGCAAAGTACCTCGATTAACGGTGCAAAAATACATTCCGATACTGAACACGATGATAGACTCATTTGATCTCGATCCTTCTTGTTGCTTTTTATTCTTGTTATATGAACAATCAAATTATATATAGTTCGGAAAGATTTATCTTTTGTTCTTTTATTCAATATGTTTCGTCCAATTATATTTCACGTTGTCAACACACGTTAACGGTTTATTATTATTATTATTATTATTATTATTATTTAATTGTTATATCTTTTTTTTTTGTTCGATCTATCACAATTTTATTGAATCGAACATAATAACACGCAGCGCGAATTGAATAAGAAGAAACAATTTTATATAGAAAAAGATTCATATAATTCGAAAAACAATGTAAAGGTAGCTAGGCTAGCTTTCACTACTTTTACTCTCGTTACTTTTCTCTTATCTTGAAACTTTGGAATACTTTTGGGAACAGAGATGATAAAGATAAATAAAGATAGAAAGAGAGTAGGAGAGAATGAGAAGGGGAGCGGGGGCGGGGGTCAGAGGTCAGATTTCGTAAAAGTTCAGTTCGTCGCACCGATTTTTCATTCGCACGCTCGTTAAATTTGTTTCGAAGAGAAGAGAACGCGACGCGAAAATAAGAGCCAAAAGTATTTCCGAAGAAATCGTCCAAGAACTTTTCCCTTTCCGGTCAGAGTTTCTTCTTCTCAAGCTCGGCAAAAGCTCCTCTTCCTCCTCCTCCTCCTCCTCCTCCACCGTACTTTTTCGGAAAGAAAGTTTTTTAACGAACTTCTGTGCTCCTCGCAAACGTGTGTCACGTGATTTTACTTTTACGTATGCTTAGAAAAATCGTGAATTTTGTTTTTTTTGGGAGATTCTCTAGAAATATGCTTTCGTTATAAAATTTATATTTCGAATATATTTACATAGTTACATTCGTTTATTAGTATTGTTTTTCTTTTTTTTTTTTTTTTCTTTAGACAAAAAGTTTTCAAATAGATTTATTGCTCGTTGTACACAATTTTATTTTATTTTATTATTTTATTATTATTATTATTATTATTCGATAGAGAAAAAGAAAAATATAAAAGATAATTTATCGGGAGACGATCAATTATAATTGTTTAGAAATATCGTATATGAGCGTGTGTGTGTGTGTGTGTTCTTGACATTTTGTTTGTTCGTATGGAAAAATAAAAAACAAAAATATTGCAATTATTTTAATTAACCAAAAAATATTACGTCCTTAAAATGATAATTCTATTTCGAACAAAATGATCGATTTAATCGTAACACATCGCGTAGATTATTTTTGAAAAATATTTACTCGAGATAATTAGATACTTCTTATAACTTCGTTAGAAGTATTTAATACGTACGAGAAATCAACGAAAAGTTGTGAGAGAGTAACGTTGTATAAAAAAAAAGAAAAGAAAAAAACCGAGAGACAGGGAAAAAGAGAGAGAGAGAGAGAGTGAGAGAGAGAGAGAGAGAGAGATGTGGAAGAAAAGCGAGCTTTTTAAAGGGAAGGAAAAAGTTTTACGAACCCGAACACTCCGAGAGGTCTTAATTTCGTCGACGTTTCGTTTCGAGAGCGATTCCTTTCTAAACTTTTAGACTCTTGTAACATAATGTAAGTACATATATATATATATATATATATATATATATATATACACATAGAAATGTTTCTTTATGTATGTACATACATATAGTAGTGTGGTGAAAAAAAATAAAACGTGAAACAAAATAAAAAAAATTCTACGTTCCTCTCAATATTAATGCAACCTGTATTATAAATATAATAAAAGAAAAAAAAAAAACAATATATGTGTGTGCTACAATATTATGAATATGTTCGCATATAATATGATTCGTGTACACATTTGTACCCATATACAGATATAATATGTAAATCTATTTATTCATAGTTATGATATTCCAACATATTTCGAACGATACGCGATTATCATCTTCGACAATAAAAAACATTTGATTGTTTAACGAATTCACAAGTTTTAATACGAACAATTCCTAGTGACTAAAAATTGATTTGATTTTACGTTCATTCATTCGCAGTTTGGTTTTTTTGTTTATATACAATTTCTAATATATATAATACATTCTCCTGTCTATTTTTTATTTCTTCTTTTGTGCATTTATTGTCTACTTCATAAAGTTCTACTATTTCAATATCGATATTTTCATTATCTCTCTCTCTCTCTCTCTCTCTCTCGTTACTCGAAATGATATTGCAAACGATTCGTTAAAAAAAAAAAAGAAAAAAAAAAAGAAATAAATCCATAACATAAAACAATATATTTTATCTATTCCCGATGAATCGTAATTTCGTAAGTATCTTCTTCATTTCGAAGCAAGCCCCACCAACAAGATAGGGGAGTTTCGGCTTACCCATTATTTTTTTAATTATTTCTCTAAAGTACTACTAACTCGTCCTATCTTTCTCTATCTTTCTTTCTCTATATTATTCGTCTTAACAGCCTTACCTTATAATCGCTTTAAGGGTTCCTCTTATAACACGGATCGGAGGAACGAAGATGAAAGACGAGCAAGAGGAACAAGGAGAAGAAGAAGAAGATGAAGAAGAAGATGAAGGGGCAGTAGGGGAATAAGAAGGGTGAGTGTGAGGGGGGGGGAAGAGTAGGAAACCTAAAGGATGGTAGGTTTTCACCATGGTGAAAGTTTAGCTTAATTCTGATAATTTCCCCAGTCGATTTTGAAAATCGATTTAACGTCGTATATTGGACTCAATGTACCTCGGTAAGCTTCGATAATTGATGCAAGCCCCGGTAATGGTGCAAGCTCATTATCAATTTTCCTACTAACCACGCGGACTGTTAAAGTAGATTCGTTACTGATATCGATCGTACGTAGATACATTATATACAAATATACATAACGCAGTCATTACTTTATCAATCGACTAACCAATCGTTAACGAGACCATATATTCAACTAGTTTAATTAATTCTAATTAACAGTTTTATAATGTATATATATAATCAGGTTTTTATTGCACAACTTACAAAGTTTTTTACAATGTCTTATCATTATATCATATATAATTATCTCACATTTTTGGCTTGCTCTTATCACACCTCTCGTCTACTTCTAATTATCACCACTCTTAAAATTAAACTATCCATTTTATTATTTCTACATTCATTTTCTATTTCGTGTTTCTTTTTCTCTTGAATAATAAACGATTACAGATTTTTTATACGTAGCGATTTATATTAGATCGATCGAAGAGTAATTTCGTTTTACTTTTTCAATTACTATTTTGTACATATTTGGAATCTTATAGAGGAATAATTTTCAAAACGAAGTATATATTATATATCTTTTGCTTTGTCTAGTCAATTTTATTTTCATTAATTTGTATCAATTAATTAAAGTCAACGTGTAATACTCTAACGAGTCGATAAATTAGTATATTTTATTTTTCAAACGATAAAGATTAATTAATTACAACAATTCATAACGTATACATATCTCTCAATTCTAATATAATAATATTATTAATAACTCATTCAATATATATAATCGTTATTAAATTATTAAATTAAATATAAATCAAAATATATATATATAATATAATCTATAATAATTATAAATTATATTTTAACAATACGAATATAAATACACATATACATTTATACGTTCAAATAAACATCATTAATTGTTATACAAATTAACAAACGTATCAACAACAACAACAACAACAACAACAACAATAACAATAATTATCAATTCCTACGATCGTATATCCTATAGAAAATAATTTACTCGAATTAATCACAGATCACATGTACAAAATCCATTTAATACCTAACCAACCATCAGTCCAGCAATAAAGATCAAAACTTTTCCCTGAGAGAGAAAACTTAGAGAAACATATTCTCGATTCGAGAAAGAATTCTTGGCAATCATTCGGGTTGGTAGTTTGTCACGAGTAAGGAATTATATATTCAAGGATAAAAGGAATCCTATTTTGGCTTAGGCCTTTCCAATAAGATTTACGAATGAGTAGAGGAAGTTAAATGTAAATGTTAGAAAGCAAAACCCTTACAAATACGTGGCCGGTACTAACCGGAAGTTCAACTTGGCTTTCGCTCCTTTAAATATCGCCTTAATCTCGCCTTCGTCCAAAGCCTACTTCTTCTTCTTCTTCTTCTACTCTACTTCTACTTCTACTTCAACCCTTGAGTATATCGTTCGGTATAACAGAAGAAGTATAACAGTATGGGAACAGCTTTTATTCGTAACTGCGAGTCCGCGGCTTAATTCCGCGAGCGTAAACTTCGCTCTTTCAAAGAGAGAGAGTGAGAAAGAAAGAGAGAAAGAAAGAGAAAGAGAGAGAGAGAGAGAGAGAGAGATGGCTGTCGGGTGACAAATCGTGCGCCACGGATTATCCGCCGACGAAAAACTAATTAAGCCGAAATACCATCGGCGAGGTCTCCTACTCGAAACGAGGCTGAGGGTAAAGGGTGTGAGAGTGGAAGAGTAATATATAGTAGTGTTAGTATTAGTATTAGTATTAGTAATAGTAAATGGTAGTGGGGTAAACAGGACATGCTCGGTGAATATTTTCACGAATTTACGTCTAACACAATATGTAAATGTATGTGTGTGTGTGTGGGTGGGTGTGAGTGTGTACGCGTGTCCTTTTGCATTGGAAGAGAATTGAAAAGGGGGGTTGGTGATGGAAAGAGGGTAGTAGAGGAAAGGAACGAACTGGAATACTCCGACGAATGAGCGAGAAAGCAAAAAGCAAAATCGCTCGACTTCTTCCTCTCTCTCTTTCTCTCTCTCTCTCGTACTCAACCCCCTTTATCTATAGAATATGCATTTACGTAGTGATATACACATATACATAGATATAGATGTATACATAAATGGTATGAGACACCCACGCTACGAATTCCCGTACAGCTTATCCTTGCTTACTGAAAGA